CACTCGCTTTTCAGTTTCAGAGGGTGTCTTCTGTTTGGGAAGGCGAGCTGCTCCTTTCTTCGCAACAGAGCAACTGTTGCCCAGATGGCATGTGCTTGTGCTGACGAGCATTCGCATGCTCCCGTCCCAGGTTCTAAAGCATCCTCGAGTTGTTTGAGACACCACAATATAAGAGGCACTTGCTATCACCTCCATTCCCCGGTTTGAACAGATTTATTCGTCAGCTGATTTACACCAGAAAAGCCGATCACTGACGTAGTCCGGTCACCCTGTTTCCCAGGTTAAAAACCTAGTCGCGCCACTTCTAAAAAGGACGCTTAACCCTGCGACAGCTTATTGTAAAACGGACCTAAAACATAATGACGTCACGCTCCGTTTACGTGCGCGCTTTCCTGGGGGACTTGACGGATCGCGTCCCACTTCACTGCCATACAAAAGTGCACATTGTATGTAAACAGAGCATGACGTTATTATGTTACAGGTCTTTTCTAGCCTGTACCAAGGCTAAACGCGACGGACCAAGGGGGATCAGATGCGTGTGGTTCATCGTGCAGTGAACGGGTCTTTTTGTCAAGGGTTACCGGAGAAAAAGAACACATCCATGACTCCATAAACAGGCTTGATAAACAAGAATTGCACATCAAAAAACAAAATCCTTTTTTTTTTTTTTACAAATGTTAAACTCAACCTTTGACCGAAGGTGAAAAGTTCTAATGAGCGCAAAAAACGCAGAACGGCAAAGTCGAAAAGATAAAGGTTACAATATGAAAGCTCCTGGATGAGCGCACCTCTGTACTGGATGTACATGTCAAAGGCGATTTCCAAATCTCCATTTTTCCCCCCTGCATGTACATGTACATAGGAACTGCGCAGTCTCGTGGCCTGGCGTATTGATAACGGTAAACTCTTTCTATCCCTTTGTAACGTTTCCAAGTCTTTGCCAAGAAAGTGCCAATTTACTCTATAACAGCATACACATACAAACTAACAGTAAAACCCACAGGCTGTGTCCAAGATCTGTACTTTTTAGCAACGGCTACGGATCTTTCCACTGACAGGTCAGTGCAAGAAGCCACAGACCGTGGACAGCCACTTTGGTCAGGGCTGTGTAACAAATTTGCATAAGCAACAAATTACAAAGATAATTATGCGTACTACGCAACAATGAACATACATATGCACAAAGCTGTTCAACAACACCTGCATGCAGATCAGGAGCAGGGGACATGTTTGAGCGAAGCATTTTTATCCAGTTCCTCACCGCATTGGATAACAGATATGAGACGGAACTGTTTTGTCACCTCCTTGAGCATTTTGAGGATGCCATTGACAACACTCTCCTCCCGCGCAGGCTTGACATTGATATGAACAACACTTTTGACCGCTTACAGCGATGGTTAATGTCACTTGGAACCAAATTACGCAGATGATTGTTTTGCATGAGTGTTCGCAGAGATGGCTTGATGGTTGTGGTTTAAAGTTATACGGGCTTCCTCATTTTATGACTCCGGGTATTTTGCTGTGATTTTTTTTTTTTTGTAGTTAATGCTAAAAAAACCACGGAAATGTCATTATCTTTGGTTTTGCTTACACCGTTTAAACCTACAAATGGGACATGCACACAACAGGCATGCAACTTTTCCTGGGATCAGCTGATTTCCTTGTTTTTCGCTTCACATTCATGGCATTGAAAATGGAAAAACACTCTACAAAATCTTGTAAAGATTGGAATTTCCTCGTTTTGGGGGGTTAAAGTCCAAGTTGCATGCCTGACATGGTTAAATACTTCTGTTGCGTGCATCATGTGAGGTTTGTATAAATGTTACACTGTTCACTGTTACATCCAATTAGGTTTGTAAATAGCGAAGTTGTTTGAATATACTGTAACCACTGTACAGTGAAGCAAAAATAAAGATCTCAAATTAATATATGATATTTGAGCGATGGTGAAATTGATGTGCTTGAAGGTGTCATTACCTGTCACTGTTGGATTCTCATGGAAGTTATCTAAGGTCGGCTCTGGTGATAAAACGTAAATCATAACGTCACATTTCGTTTGCATGTGAGCTCTTGTATGGAGGCTTGGTGGATCGCTCCCACCTCACTACCTCAGGATGGTGCGCACGTAAACAAAGTGCGGCATCATAGTGTTGGAGGTCTATTCAAATCTTGCCACACGATACAGCAAGAGTGAATTTTGAGGACTTCAAATTTGAAGCGGCAAGCATGACCTTCAGGAACAAGAGATACGAGTGATCTCCCTTTGGGGGAAAACACCACAGGTGCATGCCCGTCTGTTGCAGGACGTGCTCAACACATGTGACTTCTTTCCTGTCCAATGTACGGTCTCTGCATACACACTGTGTGCCTGTCCCTCCTTTGCCGTGGTGGGGCTGCTTCACGTCGGAAAAGAATCACAAAAACCCTGGTTGACAGATACGATTCAATTCACATATATTTGGCCGAGGTTTTTTTTCCCTGCGAATATTTTCTTTGGGTCTTGTCCAGGAAATAACACGTCACCCTCTGGCTAGCGTTAGTAACAAGACCAAAAGGATGAACTGAACGACTGAAGTTCCTCTTGCCTGATTGGATAAGATTTCTAAGTGGGCTCCTTGGGAAACACATTTGTTCAAGAAGGCTTTCAAGGCAAATGAGCTGTGGCTTGTACCCACCCTGAGCTACAGTGCGCCCTCACCGTCGAAAGAAAGTCGGACGATACTAAGTTTTCCAACCAGGTTCTTGCGCGCGTTCAGCGTGCACGCAAAGTGTACATTCCAGACTAAATTCGTTGTGCGTAATCGGCGTGCTCCGTGTCAAACATGCATAAACTTGCGCACCTATGCGGCGACTGTCAATTTCATTTCAAAACACACCCTCTTTTGTTCCTTCTCCGAGCGGATAGGAGTTGGTTGCAGGCATTTTGACATTTGAAATTGGTGGCACCGGGGGGGGATGTACCAATTCCCCATTTGCAGTTAAGCAACTACTGAAGTTACTGTGAGTGCTGTTCGCTGCCCGTGCCATCTGGCAGCGTCATCCACTGGCAAGGTATGATCTTCATCACTGAAGAAATGGAGACACTATGACGTACTGATGTGCTGGAGAGTGCTGCGAATGCCGTTAGCTGTTCAGGCCACCTGCCGGCTGCCGCAGTTCCCTCAGCTGCTCTCGGACCAATTCCTGTTGCAAGTGCACCAGTACCATCTCGGCATTGTGACGCTCCTTCATGTGCTGCAGTCGCAGCTGGTGCTCCTTCCTGGCCAGGCGCATCTGCAGTTGCGTGTATGCCTGCGGTTGTGGGTCCGTGGGCGGCAACGTGGGTTCGGCAGGCGAATGGACTGACACAGGCCTGTCCAGCAGGGCAGCGGCCCGATTCGGCATGCGGGCCGCGGTGACCCGTGGCGTGGTATTTCTGATTATGCCCCCTCCTTGCTGTCGCAATAAACGGCTTCCCTGGTTGTGTGCAGACGTAGAGCGGACCGATTGCACGGCATTGTGGTTAGGTACGGTGTGTTGCGTTACCAGCACCTTGGAAATGTTGGAGTTAACTTGCAGCAAGCTAGCAGAGGACGGTGCAGTTTTTACATATGTCGCTCGGGGGTGATTTACTGTATTTTGTCCGCTGTCCTCAGTAAGAGCTTCAAAGACATTGTCAGTTGTGTGCTGGTTCAAGTCAATGTTGCTGACAGGAGTACCCACGATGCCTTGCGATGTATCTTGATTTGTGGTCAGGTTTGCCTGAACGGACAGGGGCTGCAGCGAGTACGTGCTGTGTATCTTCAAACCCTGAGCGGTGCTGGGACCCACCTGGGACCCACCTGGAGTTACAGTGGTGGTGCCTGCTCTGCCAATGTCGCTCTGCACTGGCAAATGGCTGGAATGGGCTCTCCCACTTCTGGCAAGGGTTGAGTGTGACGCAGGTATCATTTTATTGAGGGAGCCTGTTGCTATGGTAACGGAGGTGCTCACCGGTGATGCCAAAGATGCTTCAGCTGTCATGTCTGTGCAATCAATGACTTCCAGTTCACAAACCTCAGATTCTAAAAAACAAGAGCATTAAGCAACATTGCCAACTGTTCTTTCAGAAAGTCTCTTTCGATCTCCAGAGTTTTTTAGGATGCATGTCAAAGTCACAACTGAGGTTTTATAAGCGCACAATTTTTTTTCTCATTATTTGGTTTAGCTTTATTTGACATCTCGGATTATGTGAACAAGATCAGAAGCGTAAATGTGATGGGTGGCAAATACTGACCATTTAAAATGGCACCTGCACATTTGATCAGTTTAACTGCCAAGGCTATATCAAGCAGCAGATGAGATACATGTATTTATTTAGCATCACTATGATGGAATGCTCAGGAAGTTGGAAAAAACGTTTGCATACATTGCTAAATCTTAAACATAGCTGTGTTTACAGGTCAGTGTGTTTGATTTATTGGTTGGTGAAATTTACCCCATGTGAGCAATACTTTGGAAAGAAATAGCTTTGGCTGTTTCAGAACCCTGTGATGTAACCCTTTATAGATTGTTTAGAACAGTAAACGGATATTTGGACCATATGCCATTTTGAAAAACAAAATGGTGCTGACAATATGTGACTGGATTGCACAAACAGTTTTTCAGTAAGATCATTTTAGTCAACAGCAGAATGAGCAAATGGAGCTCTTTGTTTCAATGTATCACTCCGTTTGGCTCCCTGTGTTTGGTGAAAATGGAAGTTATTTGGGTGAAAGTGTTAAGAGAGTTCCTATTAGCTTACATTGTTTATGAACCAAAGACCATTAACGGAAGTAGCTCTGGCCACTTGTGCAATTTATTTGGTTGGGTTGGGTCATGTTTATTTGTTTCAGAATGACGATTCTGAAGACCTTTCCACACACCAAAACAATAATTTATAAAATGACAATCTCACTTGGCTCATCTGCCTCGCTCTCAACCAGCACCTCATCCACAGCGTCAGGCCTGCTGTTGCTCTCAGCCGGTGCCCCAGCGCAGTGGTTCCTGCTGGCCTGATCCTTCGACCGCACAGAGCCAGCGCTGCCACGGCCCTCGGCCCCGCCTGGCCTTGCCCCACTGGTGCCTTGCTCCTGACCCAACACCTTCCAGCAGCAGTCGGCGTACGGCAGCAGCTGCCGCAGGGGCCCGTGGCCCAGTGCCTCCATCTCGCTCACCGTCTCCTCGTAGAGCTGCTGGAAGGGCGTGGCCGGATTGTTGTGGACCCGCTTGCGCATGGTCATCAGCGCCTGGTCCGCGGAGGCGCCCTTGTGGTCGGGGCCATGGTTGTGGCCATTCTTCTTGACGTAGACGATGCGCCCGCCGCTCAGGTGCAGCTTGCCCTTACAGGTGCGGTCGGTGCAGCGCCAGTATTCCTTGTTGTAGACCACCATGTAGCGGGAGTAGCGATAGCCCTCGCAGATCAGGAGCCGGAACCGGTTCTGCTTGAGGAAGGAAAACCGCAGCTTGCTGGAAAAGGGAGGAAGAAAAAAAAAGGACTTGCCGAGTTCAGTGCAAGTGTTTGGGTTCTTAGAATAGTTTGTTATACTAACCTGTGCAGATGCAGCTCGAGATTTGAAGATTTTCTATTTTGAGATAATCTGGTGCAGTTGAGACTGTCACAAGACTAGAAACAAGAAGACCACTACGTGTAACTAGTCCTTTCACAAGACCAGTCACAAGTAACAGGGTGAACAGTGACAAAGGCATGCTTTCACTGCAGGTCGTTTGAACAACTTGCGCCCAAAATGCAGACCGAAGGTCGAAAGTTGGTTTAGTGGGTTCTTGCGATTGTTTTGGCCATTGGAGATAATGGACCCATTACACAGTGGCATCATGCTTTGTTTACACTTTCCTATGGCGGTGAAGTGGGACACCATCCAGCAAAAGTTCCCATAGGAAAGCGCACATGTTTAATTTAAAAAAAAAAAAGTGACATTTTGTGGTAGGTTTCTTGCAGCAATTAAATGTACCATTAAAGAGGTCTGTGGGATGAATGGAAACAAAGCATGTGACTTGCTTTTTTCAAGCATCCAAAGGAAAGTATACATGTAGTCAAATACATGTATGTACATGAATCAATGTTAACTTTTTGGGCCGGATTTGGTAAAAACAGGCCATTTGCCACGGAAGTTTTTATTCCTAATTTCCACGTGACAAACTTCTCAGGGGGTTGAGAGGGGCTGACGGCAGGAAAAAGGGCCTTCTCTCTTTGATTTCTACGAAAGTTCACGAAACCCTCTGTGCCTGATATACACTGGACAGCAAAAGAAACTTGCCACTTCTGTCAAAGGTCACACATAAAAATTCACTCCATAGAAATAAATAATTTTTGTACACAGGTATGCTGCAATACCCCTTACTAATCACATGACCAGAAGTAAGTGATTATCTTTGTAACAAAGAAGAAATTGATATGCACAGCAACTCAGGCAGGCCAACAGCAATGCTTTAACATGAATTACATTTTAGCAGGGAGCTTGTTTATTTCAACCACTTCCTGCCGGGGCAGTTATCAATGTTGATGATGCTGGGCCGGAATGTTTATCTTTTTTTTTCTGTTGTCAAATTCTGTATAAATTTTAATCTTCGTTTACTGGATACTTACAAACATGTGAAGGACTGTCTGGTGTCCACTCTAGCCTGACAGACAAAATCTATTGACGCCTGAGTACTTCAGCCAGGCCTGCAGCCTTGTAAAAAGAGCCCAGACTGTGCGGTGTTATGTAACTGTCTTTTGTTCACGAACCTGGCTCAGTACACTGCTGACCTCTTTTCAATAGGGGCCAGATTAGCATGCAGCGGTGCTGTGAGGCTCATCACTGCGGTGGTGGAGCGCTTTTGTCCCCGGTGGTAATCCACTCACTCTCAACGCCCCAAATCTTGGTATACTGTTTCAAAAATAGGTTGTATTATCTCCACTTTTAAGAGTGACAAAATGTCGGTAGCCTGGTCTTTTGTTCCGAGTACGGTCTTTTGTTACAAGGCCCTGTTCCCTTTGTCCGAGTTCGGAGACACCGGCCACGCATATGAAGCATACGTGTTCGGATCCGGAATCCCCGGCAGGGAGTGGTTAATTAATGGCACTTTTAGCTACTCAAGCTATTTGCCCCTCGGCGGGGAGGCAAATACAACACAAGTACACTATACACACTGTGGGCCTACCTATCTTTGCTAAGCCTCTACTGATCACAGTGTGGTAATTTCTTTTTCAATGGTTATTACCGATAAATCATTTTTCAAATCAGCGGTTATATTGTTAAATTTTAGATAAATGAACAATTTATGGTGAAGTTACTTTCGGTAACGAAGAAAAAGCAAAATATCCTATCTGCTCCTGCTTGATTTGTGCACTGAGCCGACATCGTTTCCTCATTTACATACACCCGGCAGGATTCTGCCAGATTCATTACCCGCCACCAGTCCCTACATTCAGAGGATGTCTGTAAGACATCTGGACACTAGTAGGGGACAGGAACCAGTCCAGCAAAGCCATTGGAATACTGTCACACTGTCACCGTATTTTTACCCTGTGTATATACCAATGGAAAGATTCTTTTCTGCAGAATTAAAAAACAACCATATCTCCATTTTTGAAAATTTCCGTCATTCATTTTGTGAGGACGGGTCACATTTGTGTGGCTTTATTCCACTTCCAGCTGCTGTTGAAGTTCAGGGTTATTTTAACCGTTAGTTCCTCAAAGCGGTTCCGTCTACTGAGAAGCACCGAGTAGTACAAGTTGGGCGCGAGAATAGATGTAACCAGCCTTGCAAGTCAATCGGGACATGGAATTACATCTATCAGCACATACCACTGCTGTGATATAACAAATGGCAATGAAATGCTTCATTTTTACCAGAAACAAGTTTACAATAAGTAGACAGTGGAATGCCTTTAACTTTCAGTAAAAGGACACAGAAAAATTGGCAATTACTTTAAAAATGACTGTTTTTGTCTTTATTTAATGAATTTTTTACTTGAGTTGAAACATCCCATATCAGCGTGTATAACCATGGAGCTATAAAACACATGCAGGCGTCTCAATTATAACCAAATCCAATTAAATTCATGATATTATTAAATAGGCCTAGTGATACAATTTCAGATAAAATTCTGCATGAAAATTGACTGATCGAGTGTCGGTCGGGAATTGTTAGTTTTTGCTAGTTTGGGTTTTGGAGAAAATCATTTGAAGAATATTGTTCAAAATGCCAGCCAAAATAACTTTACATAATTCAAAAATAACAATTTCCATAGTGACTGAGTACGAGTGCACATGTACCTAGCACAGAACACGTACGGTTGATGTGCACAAAAGAAAATACGTCGTGCCCATGTATTGCACTAACATGTACATGTAAGCACACATGTACATAGTGCAGCTGCATGTACATGTACATACATATACAATGTGTACATACTTAACAATTTCATTTGGAAGTTGTACTTTTACACAGTGTTAAATTTCGTGCGTATAATAGAAGGGAATTAGTCTGTCCTCAAAATTTTGGCGTGGGTAAGGCGATACAGTATTTCAGAACCCAGACTGCGCACAACAAATACACGGTATAAATATGTACAACATGCAAATGATTCTATTTCTGTCAACCAATCAGAGGTATCATGGCGCCCATGTCACGTGATCATTCTATGTGGCGTTTCACTCGGCTAGCTGCTCGTTTAGGCAGCTCTCCGTGAGCTGTGAAATTGAGAAAAGGGAGGATAAACGTGCCTCAAATCGGGCCAAAACGGCCGGATTACGAGCTCAAAGCACACCTATAGACGCAGTGAGAATCGTACTCCAAGATGCCTCTGTTAGTTTTCCTTGTGGACACCAGTGCGTCCATGAATCAGCGAACTCACCTGGGTACTACGTTGCTGGACATAGCGAAAGGCGCCGTGGAGATTTTCATGAAGGTAAGGCGGGCATACGCGACTTGTGCGCGAAGGGGTGGGAATTATTAACCACACGGGTGGGTGACTCTGCCTACCACAACTCCTGCATCTGCATGACTTAGCCGACTCTGTATGAAACAGAACTGGGACCGAAAAATACTGAGCACTTCTTCCACCTTTTGCTCTGTCTAAATTAGGACTTTGTTTTGTGAGACTTTTGTTGGAATGTTGTGTTTCCATCCCCCATCCAGCTTCGCGCCCGAGACCAAGCAAGTCGTACCGACCGCTATATGCTGGTGAGCTGTGACGAACCGCCAGGAACAATCAAGGTAAATGTTCATTTATTTTTCTCTCATTGTACATTTTTTGCTGACGTTTGTAGACCCTGAGTACAATTTAATCATTGTCTTTGATTGATGCTTATGTGGATCAGGCTGTGAATTCCACCCGGAAAGGTAGAAATTTCGGGCCTAAATTGGGACGATCAATTTACACGTTCGACCGGCTGTAACACTTAGCTTCATTAAAGTTGCGCTTTGCATTGTGGGTCCATCGCAGGTCATGCGCATATGCATGATGAGCTTGACCTCAGATTATGATAATGTCAACACATCATTTTGTTCGGGCAAAAAGTTTCGCGTTTGGCCACAACTTATTATTCTGATTAATATCAATATGACTTGAATCTACCAAAAGGGTAAATCTGGTGAATCACTAAATTTGAATGGGAAAAATGCCAACTTTTCTTTGAAAACACTCGGGACATTTTCTGTCTTGGCCCACACACCCTTGCACAAAGTCCAAGTTTAGGTTGATAAAGTTTTCAAATTGCATTTTGTTTTGAAGTGATCGTAGGGAGGATGTCGTAAGAAACATAGTGATATAACTTTGGATCCCATCGGACTCTGCAAAGCTAAGAAAAATTGATTTGAAGCAGGGCTGTTTTTAGATATTTTAAAAGATTTCTTTTTTGTACATGTGTAAAGCAGAGCGAAATGTGATTATTTTGTGCACAAATATGAATGTGTACTAGTAGGATTTTTACTGAAAAGCTGAGAATTCATATTTTGCTAATTTCTTTGCTCTATCTAAATTTCAATGACTCAAATGCTGGCTTTGCTGTATGATAGAAATTTTGAAATTAAATAGACGGGATGCCGCTTGCGGAAAAAAAACAATTTTAATCTCAATCTCCTCTTTAAGAAAACAACAGACCAAATGAACAGCGCCCTCACATTTATGCATGTCCCTACCAACGTGGAGGCCAGATATGGAAATCTTTCTTCATTTTTTCCTGTCACAGTCAGTGTACAACTTTTTACTGGTTGATGTTCACTTTGAGGAAAAAAGGCATTGTCTTTGATACCTTGTCATTTTTCAGCATGTGTGACCTCGGTGAAGTTCACTCGTCATGAATGTTTTGTGGAAAAGACCATGAAACTGAAAGGAAAACAATCTACCGTTAGGTCAGAAATTATCCAGACAATTTGAATGAGTCCCAATATGTGTGAAATTATAGGTCAATTCTTTGCTGTGGCAGTTCTTCTTGGAATATCGTATTGAATACAGCCTACAACATTTACAGTTTTTCTACAAGCATTTTGAAGTTGACTCAAGATGGATCTGAAGCTACCTGATTACATTCGTTTCCCACTTTCCAGGATTTTTCAAACAATCCCTGTTAACCCTAACAGCCTTAAATACTACAAAGTACTACTTACTAGTAGAATGTAGTATTCGGTGCTGTCACTTGTAAGAGGACATGACCTTATTGTTTTCTGAAGCCAGAAAATACAATAGATAAGGCAATGTACCATACAGTGCTGTGGCACTTTGAATGCGTGGCTTTATTGTTCTCTGTACGAGTGACGATAGAGGGTGCCCTAGCCAGAAGTAGTCATTTGTACCGCTAGGTCCTTCAGGCTAAGACCACTGTTTCGTATTTTTTTTTTTTAGTACCGCAACCCCAATGTTATGCAGAACTATTAGGGTTAAAATCTAGAATATCCAAGTTTGCCACTGTGGTTAAAAAGTCAATATAAAACGTCTTGTGGGGTGCCTGGAGGCAAACATGCGTACAGTGTATACCATAGACCCTACACTGGTGTGGGGCCCCCCAAAAACCTGTGGTGATTATTTGACGGATTCGTCATGTTCCTCCATTTTCACCCTTGTTTTTTGCTTGTGTTTTCTTTGACAGAAACTTGCAACTTTTGGAAAAAAAGTCATTCTTGATGAACACGTTTTTTTCATAAACTCTGAAATTTTATGAAGTCTTATCACAAGGTTTTCTACGTCTCTGCCGATTTTCTCTGCCCACTTCCTGCTCATTACATTAAACAGCAACTTTTGATACTCAGAATTTCAGAAAAATTCCGGACGCTGAACAGGTTTGCGAAGGCAAATCGGGAGGGGAATCAGAAATCACCTGAGCCATAAATGTTGTCTTTTTTGTTGTGATTTTGGTCAGTGTGAAGGTGATGATATTAATTTTGGTTTTAATTGATTGTTAGTTGGTAAGACGTGTTTGTTCTTTTGGAGTGGGACGGGGGATGTAGGCTGGAATATTTATAGGCATAACATCCTGTATTTTATAGCAGTATTATTAGTTTGATTTGTTTTTTTTTTTTGGTCTTGCCCGGTTTGTTAATGTTGGGTTTTGCTTTGATTGGGTATATGTAGAGATCGTTTTATTGCTTTCTTCGGATATTTTGTTGATATGTTGGGTCCTAAATCCAACCATCAGAGTAGGTTGATTTGTTAAAAACTAACTGCATTTGCTGTACTCTTTACTGTGGTATGTGCTTGGTGTTTAGGGTTATTTTGTCTACAGTAGAAATAAAATGGAATGCTATTAAAAGGAGGAGAAAAAAAATTGTAGAAGCTTCTCGTTAAGATGTAAAAATGATTAAAACAATTCCTGATAGTTGATCTTTTTCATCTGGAGATTTTCTCTTCCCCGTCAAGTATCTCCAGTAAGGCTTTAGGAAAACGTCAGCAACGTTTGGATGGATTTGTTTTGCGAGTTTGGTATGCAGCGAGACAATGAGGAAATGGATTGTGAGCCGACATTCACATATGATTTGTTCCGATATTTTAATGGTATTTTGTTGAGAATGTCCCTTTTGGGGGGCTACCTGGAATATTGCCAGTTTTCCAACTCATGTCATTATTTTTTTTTTTTTTAGAACTGCATGTATCAAATAAAGTTGGTCTGATGTTTTTGCTCTAGCGTGATTTACAACACGGGTTATGGTTCTGGGAGTGTGTGGGTGGATTCTTGCTCTCACAGGGAGAAACGGCAGTCAAGTGTCGGTCTTTTCCCAACCGTTTACCTCGTTTGGCTGCAGAAAAGTGGATGACATTTTGCGCAGCACAGTTCATCATGCGACTGTAATACTGACAGAAGAAAAAAAACAGACTGGAAGCTTATGATGTACAAACAATTTTTGGTCCAATTTCACCATCTGCATTAACCAGTTTATGTCGGATTTTCTTCCCCGGAAAGGCTGCTCTGGGCAATTTTTTTTTTTTTTTTTGGCAAAGTCTTCAACCGTGCAGTCAATTTGTGGCACTTGTAAAATATCTAGGGAAGCACAACTCTTGAGTTTAGGCATGAGTATGTTCATTCTTTTCCACCCAAGTTCTTCTGTCCAGCTGTTTTTCGACTGCCCGGTTCACATACAAAAGGTCCATGAGGTATATGCCTCACCCGTGGCCATGTGTGTTTTTTACCAATCCCCATTCTTCCTCAATCCTCCAAATCCTCTGATTTTAAAAATGCCATCTTTCCTCAGTCCTCTAAAATCCTCCAAAACCACCCAAAGGATTTTGGAGTGCGGAGGAGGGTTCTGATGGATTTCATAAGATCTCTGAAGGACTCCGCCTGTGCCGAATTCCCGAAGTTGCTAATGCTAAACCGTAAATTCCAAGAGGCCACGTTGTCGGCCCATGCCGCGATCTGAGCACACAGACAAAATGTGACATGTAGGTCTCCTTGGAATGTTTCGCTACGAGGAGATCCAATTTTTTTTTTCCATCACAATTGTGTCAACATCCCAAACAGGGCCCGTCTAGAGTTCTTTGCATAATCGCAGACAGGAGTGCACACACACACACACACACACAAAAACAGGAGAAATATAAGTCCCACTGCCGTATTTAGAGTTTTGCAAGGAAATCTGCAGCTCCCGGAGTTTGCAAATGACATCCCATAGTTGATTGATGCGGAGACTGCGGGGTCGACAGACTTTTTCGCAAAGTACGGTGGGCCCTTGCTCCGTAACTACATGTATTGTGCACCGTTTTACCCTCGTCGTTGAGATTGCCCAAGTATGTACCACAGCACCATTATGAACACCATGTTCATCCATACCTGTGGTTTAGAGATATTTGAAATTACCATTCATTGGCAAAAGAAACCTCAGATAGAGAAATTAAAATCCCCGTTGACGTCCTTGCTTCCCCCTTCTTTCATAGCCCCTGGGTATTAAAATTTGATAGCTTACAAAACAAACGGTGAGTGCATTAATTCATAGGCATTCTAAATAAAGATTACTGTTCAGTTGTCCCCAAAGTTTGCATTGACCGATGAAAGTTGCATGAGAGAAATTGGAGTGCACGTAAACATTCTCGCTTAACCCTTTATTCCTAGCATGTAGGCATTTAAATTCAGTAGCCTACAAAATACACGGTTTGCGCATTTGTGTGCTTTCTAAACTTAGATCTGTGTTTAGTTTTCCCTGAAAAAAACATCGATAGAATCGTGTCACACTTTCCACAGCAAAATGTAAACACTGCAAAGTCCTGCCACGCACATGAATACTGCGTGGGGTTTTGGCAATGCTAAACTTGACTGATTGTGGCAAAAGAATTTGTTTAATCCTAACCCTCCCAAATCCTCCAAAATCCTTTTCTGCAAAGTGGAGGAATTGGAGGATTCAGGGTGTGTGGCAAAAGTGCATGGCTGATTTCGAAGGATGCCGTACGTGAAGGTCGTGGAGTAGACCTTATGTTGTTTGTGCTAAGTCAAGCACAAATTCTGCCCGGTATTTCTTTTGAATCAACTGCACAGCTCAAGAGTGCCACTTGCACTGCGTCAACAAAATGACAGGAATCGCTGGAGGATTTTGAAGGATCGAGTAGTTAGGTACACCTCCAAATGACATTTGCAAGAACTCTTAGAGGATTTTGGCTGAATGAGAGTTCCCCGTCCCTTATTTGTTTGAAATCTGCACAGAGGTTGCCGGGGTTCCTTTTTTTGGGGGGGGGGGGGAATTGAAGGACATACAGTTGGCTGCCACTTGCTGTGGTTGTGCCTCTTGAGAAGTTCAAGTACAGAGAAATGGCTGTTTGGCTTGTGCCTAAGGGTGGATGTTGGAGGATTTTGAGGATTAGCCGTGGCAAAAATACAAATTACAGGAGATGACAGGACCGAGGAGGAAGGAAAAGATCCATTCTTCAAGGCAGGACATAGCTACCAGCCAGATTATCACGAGTGTTGTGCAGTCAGTCAGAAGCACGGATCCAGAAACAATTAATTACCCTGAGGGCCTGGAGGCAGTTTTTTCTTACCACAGGGACTTCCGAAGTTCTGAAATAGTCGAACAGCCAGCAGTCCTAGAAATTGGTGCGACCAACCGTCACCAACTTGCTTGCATATGCGGTCATAAACAACCTATCAAGCTAGGTGAACGGGTACTTTCAGAACGCAGTGGACGAGCTGGGTCAGCAGTATTTGACCTTTGCTGTCTTTCTTTTTATCCTAGTGCGGCTGGAAGGACAATCATATGACCTTCATGAATGAGCTGAAGAACCTGCAAGCCACAAGTCTCACTGGCCTGGGTCAGGCTCTCAAGACGACCTTTGACCTGGTCAACATCAACCGATTGTACTCGGGTATCGATAACTACGGTCAGGTAAAAACCTTTGTTGTTTTTTTTTCCAAAGTGACTGTGAACAGCGGAAAGAGGAGAATGACCTAGTCACTGGGGAAAAGGTTGACATTTTCCCAAACCATTTTTGCATGAAATTTTGAAGAATGGGGGCTTTCTTGTGTGTCCCAAATTGTCTGCCTGGGTTAGTTCATTGGGTACGTTTCATTCTTGGAGTTAAAGCCTTTCAGCTGAGCTGTTTGGTCCTTAAAATTTGGTTTGAGATGTTTACTGTTTGTTTTGAATTTTCTATCATATTAATTTCAGGAATGTGTAGGTTGGGCAGAGGAGAAATAAATTTATAACTTGATATCAACTGTTATCGCTCCTTTTTCATGGGGCTGAGTCAATTTGAATAATTCACTATTTGAATGGTTGACTTTCAAATGGATCAAATATCCAGATATTCAGTCGTACCGACAAACCATTTACAAAATCAGTTGCAAAAATGCACTCAATTATGTATTATAATCCCTATAAACAGCTTCTCACTTCCAGGGCTATCTCCAGCCTCGATTAAGCAAGATTGAAGAGGAGAACGGTACTTCTTGCCCTGTTGAAAGTCTCTATTCGTTTCAAAGTTTTCAATGAATTTACTTTCTGAATTGTAGGATGTATTATTCTGTCACTTTTTTGTCTCATGTTTCTGGATTCTGACTTTCATGTTTAGTTATTTTATTTCTTAGATTAATCTGCCAATTTGGTAGAATGCCATTTCAACTATACTTCCATGTGGTTTAATACATCCCAACTGCAGTATTTCATTCGTCAATGAAATCCACAACTGTACAATTTGCAATTGATTCAATCTGCTGGAAACAAGCCTCCATTGTGCAATATTTCTCATTTAAAACAAGAAAATTGTTCCTTTTTTGATGACCTTTGCATTCAAATATATGAACTCGGAAAATAGTAATCGACTATTGGATAATCAATATAATTGTCAGATATTTGGCACAGCCCTAGTTTGTCATCCCCTCCGTCCCACGGCCGAAAAAAGCTACCAATAGATGTTGATGAAAATGGATGAATTGCAGATTTCTGTCCTTAACGTACGCACGATGTTTGCTGTCCAGAATAAACAAAAAGGAGAAAGCTCAAGTCTCCTAAAGCGCCCCTAACCTTGGAGAAAGACCGTAAATAGCTTGGACTCGCGTTGGATTTGGCATGGCCGGGCTTAATAGGGAGATTGTAATTTAATCAAAGTGGCGTCAATACGATGGACGCTTTGAAGTTTCTGTTTTACTTTGCCCCTTTTTTTCTGTTTTCCTCCTATTTGGCCAGACTTGTGTGGCCTTGTAAAGATGCAGAGGTTTTGATTTAACACAATATGCACAATTATGAGCAATTAAGATTGTGCAACACCAATGGACTGTTATTTAATGACGCCAGAGGTAATCCATTATTTATATCCCCAAAGGCCTCGCAAATGACAGGCAGTGTAAAGGCAATGCGGTATTTTGATTTTTTATTTTTTTTTAGAACTCTCGTTCTTGCAGTTTTCTACTAATGCCAGGCATAAGTGCCATACCCTCTCCTGGGCTTGTAAAAGTAAGTCGAGCGAGGCCATCACCAGTCCAGTGTAATTGCTGACATTTTATGGGAAGTTGCCTCCATCCAACTCGATTAATGTTCGATTTGTCAGTCCTCCGGATCCCAGGACTCGATCGGGCTGTATGCACCCGCATCAAACTCCTCATAAACTTTATGTATTCACGGGTCGTTGTTTTCTGCACAGGGTCGCAATCCGTTCTACTTAGAGCCGGCAATGATAATTGCAATAACTGACGGACACAGGCTAACAAACAATAGCAGTGTACAAGATGAGGTAAGCTTTGTTAAATTCCTGTTTCATTGCAAGGCGGGTTTTTTGGGTCAGGGGTCTTAATATATTTGGAGGTATTAATGCCAAATCGTACTTGGTGAGGAGGCAAACACGAACCCCAAACTGTGACATCAGGTCAAATATTAGTGCTGAGAATTTGCAAAAATTAAACACATTTCAACCTTAGCGGATTTTGTTTCAAACGTTTTGTGATATCAATGTCGTTTCACTTTGACGTTCCTCTGAAGAGCAAATTGGCCTGGAATTAGAAAGTGTAACTCTCCACAAGCCTGCTGAGTCTGTGTTTGTTTGTTTTTTTGTTAAATTTCATTTTGGATTATTCTCTTTTGGATTCGTTGCAAAACTTTTGATTTTTGCTAATGTAAAATTCTGCCAAAAAATGTAATACAGAAAACGATATGCTTCCTGCTTCTACACATGTATAAGAACTCCACGACTGATGTTTTTTTTTTCAGTTTAAAACTAATGGCAAATATACTGATATTTTAAAGTTTTGAGTTTTTCCAGATCATGCATGATTGTTGAAGATTTTCACTTTAGTTTTCAAATTAGTCAGGTTTCAACTAGTCAGTTATGCAACTAGGTCAAATTTGTGTGTGGATCGATGCCCCTGAAAAGTTAACTACACAAGAATCGCTATTGGGCTTCTGTCTAGTGGTGGATTTTGAATGATTTGGGAAGGTTTACTTCTTAGTTGTAGGGATTTGCGGTAGCACCGTGCAAGCGTCTCTCTTTTATGAGTATGTGTGGTTCTGAAAAGAACCGGAGGATACTCAGAACCACACATTTTCATAAAACAACTGTAACTTGCTACGTGTACCTTCACCATGAAAAGCTCCCAAGCTCAAGGTTCAGTTCTTAGTTGTAGAGGTTTGCGGTAGCACCAAACAAGGCTCGCAAGCGTCGCTGTTTTACGAGTACGTGTGGTTCTGAAAAGAACCGGCGGATACTCGGAACCACACATACTCATAAAAGAGCAATGCCTGGTGTAACTTGCTACCTTGGCCACGAAAAGCTCCAAAGGTCAAGGTTTCATTCTTATTATTTAGCAAAAATACCCATACCTTGCCGATGAAAGGTTAAGCATGAAGTAGGAAAATACCAACTACTGTGATTCTTAGGCATTCTCTTCGGCCTTTCTCCTGAATCCCTTAATATCTTTCACTGAGCAGGTGCGCATTCCTTGTACTTGGACACGGTGCATTGAGTCCCATGTACCTGCCTGGGCTCTGCCTTCCATAATGGTGCAGACACCCTCAAAAGCTGACGGGGGATTCTGAAAGGATTCAGGATGATAAGGGAACCTTGTTGAAATGTGCACAAACTGTCGAGAGTGTACATGGATTGTTGTGTTCATTTGGAAATTTCTGTTTCTCTCCCAATCTAGCTGTCGCTACCAATGAGCATGGCCATCCCCGGCAGCGAGCTGACCAAGGAGCCCTTTCGCTGGGACCAGCGCCTCTTCTCCCTGGTGCTCCGCATCCCGGGTGTGGCCCCTGTGGACAACGACCGCAGCGGGTCCATGGTCAGCATGGACGGCTCGCCGATCAATGCCATGTGCGAAGTGACGGGAGGTGCGTCCTTTTTTGAGCATGAACCAATGTTCATATGAATATGCACAAATCAATTTAAATCTGAATGTGCACCGACTCATTTTCTTCTGAATGTGCACAAACACCACATCATCTTTGCAACAACACAGCCTAGTGTTTATCCCTTGTAGCTACTACACTGCTGTGTTTTATTTGTCCTAATACATGAGAATCAGAACAGAAATTGACCTTAATCTTGTATCTCGTCAACATTTCAGGTCGCTCTTATGCTGTCACTTCTATGAAGACTCTAAACCAGTGCCTGGAGTCCCTGGTGCAGAAGGTACAGAACGGCGTTGTGGTCAACTTCGAAAAGGTTGGGTCTGATCCCGTCCTGCAATCAAACGATGGTAGGTTTACCCCGAACGTTCCTCTGCCGTCCGCAGGGAGTAGAACTTCAGATAGGAAGAGCTGGTCATTAGTTAAAGGAAAGAACTGCCAGTGGGCTTCTCAGCATGTAAAGAATTTGCTCGTGCTCTTAATTTTGCTCGTGCAGCCGCCATCTTTGTCTGGTTCCTTGACCCTTTCAGCACCAAATTCTTTGTGGACTTCCAGTTCTCAGACAAGTTTTAGTTCACGTCAACATTTTCAGGATGTTGAGGGGTGTTAGACTTAAAAGTGTTCACATGCCTTCAACCAGAACAATTCATTGTTTCAGTGCCCCACCAGGCTATATTTGCTTTTTTCAAAATTTCAAACCCACTTCAAAATTTGTCAAGAATAAGCATTTTATCGGTAGCTCGATGAAAAATCTTGGTCATATGAATGCAGGATGACTATTAAAGAGAAATCTGGAGCAGTGTGTGGTTTGTTTTGGGTTTGTAGTCAAACTACACCTGTCGGGTCGGAGGTCACCGATGCCCCAGGAAGGGGAGGGACCAGTCAATGGTCTCATCCCCGGCAATGGATCCGCAGACAATAAGTTGTCTGACTCCGGTGAGTAGTCTGGTGCCGTGCTGCCCTTCCCCCGAATTGAATGTCTGTCAGTCGGTGGTGTATCATGGCATGGAGGCAAGGCCGGTCATCGGGGTACCATACATTCTTTCCTTTACCTCCACACCCCCATACCCTCTTCCTGATTGGTTCCTTGTAGTGATGTCTGTTTCTTTGATGTGTTGCAAATATTTCCTTTTCAGTAGTTATACTTTTGACAGAACTTTCTCTTTCCATTTCTGTTTCTCAATGTGTACTTGTACATTTTTGTGTCAACAAGAGACTATTTTTCCTTTTTCTCTCTGGAGTCATTTTTTCTCAATTTGTTCCCTCTGAATTTGCCAAAATTGTCGACTCTGTGGTAATCCGAACAAGTTAAATGACTGTGTTTTAAAATTTTAAGAAGCATTGGGCTCCATGTAATAATGGCCACACTCTCCCTACCTTCATCAAACTGATATAGTTGAAAGGTCTGGAAGGGTTTGGGTGTATTGACTCAACCTGCTTTTCATAGCAAAAAGAGCCGATCAGCGAACTTTGAACCCACAGGCTTGAAGGCTTGTAAAACAGAACGCACAGTTATCATGTCAGATGAAAATATCCACACTGCAAATCTGAAAAAAATTGAATGCATATCAACTCGAGCGAAATTTGCTGCAAATGTTTAGTGATGGCAAATTCAACTTGCTTTCATGTGTGCCCAAAGTATGAAGCCGCCTTTACACTATGGAAGGAGGCCATTAGTTCACACCCAACCATACGTGTAGAGTTTTTTGTTGTTCACTTTTTTTTTGTTTCTTTCGTTTTTTGGGGAGGAAATCATGGCTGTCTCCTACTTCAGTATCATTTTTGAAAAAGAAGTCCCTTGAGTTGGGGATTCTTAAGCCCCATGCAGCTGCATTTTCTCCCCCGGAATCACACTGTCCAACATGAAGCCAAAGTTTAAAGAATGTTTAATTGGTTCTGACAGTAAATGTTGGAACTCGATCATGGACTTCAATATCAAGCCAGAGACGGAGACAAAGTCATGGTTTGGGAAGAAAGGCCTCCGTTTCAGTTTTTGTGTAGTTATGGCAGCCGTTGTTGCGCATGTGGGGTTTTTCCTCCCAAGTGGGGGAAAAAAAAACAAACCAAGTTGTAGTCTGGCTACCTCAGATTTGCAAGTCTAGTCAGACATCGTCATAGAGCTTTTTGTTCCTCAGGTCCTGGTTCAAAGAGTAGCTCTCTCCCTCTCTCAAAAGAAACAGTGGGATGCTCAGTTGTGTTTTTACAAATTGCACAGTTGTTTTGCACATTAGTTAATATTGGTTCAGTGCATGATAGATCGAGCACCATTTCTTATTTTTCTTTGCCGTGTTTGTCTTTGCCGGAAGTGTCTCTTTTCTTTTCTCATTTTTGGTGGAGCATTTTGTTCATATGTCGATGTTGGTCATTGTTTCCCCATCCGTGGTAGACTCTTCAGTGTGTTGTAAAATTTGTCATGATTGACGAATTAGTTGATATGTTATGCCTCGTTACTGCAAAGCTGATTTTGCCAGGCAGGGAAATGAAATAATTTCCTCGAATGCGCCCGTAACCCTGTGACTTGCAAGTGAAAAGAAGAAAGACAAAAAGTCTGTAGATTTGACAATGAGGTGTTGTGTTTTAGTGTTGGAAGGAAAACTTCTAGACAGATTATCAGAGAAAACCCACCGGGTCTGACGAGAATCAAAGAACATGTCAGCTGAGTTGGGATTCGAACCCGGGGCTCAGATACAAAAGGCAAGGAACGTACCACTGCACCAACCCAACTCCTTGAACTGGTCGGCTAGAAGACTGTCAGACAAAACTAACATGAAAAAAACAGACGGTTGATCTCTCGTTTTTTAATTTGACTTTCTAGAATCAAATGAAGGCAAATCCCAGGCTGGCTCACTGTCTTCGTCTAGTCTGACTGTCCCGAACGTCAACAACAACGCCCGCGTCAACACCGCCTCCCCAGTGCCCGACAGCTCATGGCACAGCTGCCGCAAGCTGATCTATGTCCGCCCCAACCCCAAGACAGGGCTGCCCCTGGGCCACTGGCCCATCCCTGAGTCGTTCTGGCCAGATGTCAACGCCCCCACCCTAGTGAGTGACTTTGTTGAAAATTGCATCATATAGGAAGCTACAGCGGGAAACTGACCACCTGCTAACTTAATTACAAATATGAATGGAGAAATTGACTGGAGTGGGATTTGAACCTTGCACTTCTGGAACACCACTCTGGTGTTTTACGAACTGAGCTGTCTAGCAATCTATCATTTGATAATGTTTCTGAGAGATTTTTACCTTCCAATGTATTTGGAAATTTAAGTAATCATTCCAATAGCATGGGTCAGTAGTTTGATATTGTTTTCAATGTTTTCCCCGACAATACATAGCAACCGCGGGATGCCCAACCCGCGGTGAAATTCATGTGCACGAACTGTGAGCCGATGCTGCTAGACAATCTTCCCTTTGACAAGTACGAGCTGGAGCCCTCACCTTTGACCCAGTACATTCTGGAGAGGCGGAACCCCAACGTTTGCTGGCAGGTACGTAAAGGGTCGCAGCTGCCGCCAGAAATCAGTCGGCATGCTTGCCAGTCTGTGCAAACGTAGCTGGCAGATTTTGTGGCAGCCCGTTTGAACCTTGCGGGCTGGTCACCGGTCTCTAGTTTAAGACTCTAGATGGCTCAACGGCCATTCCAATCCTTCTATTGGAATGTGGATGGGGAACCAGTCGTAACCAACTGCGTCTTTGAAAACGATCCTCTGTATAGTTCATGGAGTGGTTACTTGGAGGACCGTAATTTCACTTGTAACAATTGTTACCCTTGAAGTTTGGTAACTCAAGTTGACAGGTTAGCCAGTTGTAATTGGATTGTTTTTTTCTTTTACTTATTGTACCATGACACTTCAATAGTGAAAATTGGTCACATTACAATCGCATTCTTAATTCTTTATTTCTCATTCTTAGAAATACTGAATTCCGTAATGAATTCTCACATCTGCGCCCAATTGGCCTTTTTACCTTTCAACAGCATAATCTATTAAAAGTGCATCATAGTCGGTGTTGCCCATGCGTCATAGTCAGTGTTGCCCCTGAATTTTTTTAATCCCTTCCTGCGCTGCCGCAGGTATTTGTCTCCAACAGCGGCAGGAACTCAGAGCTGGGCCACCCCTTTGGCTACCTGAAGGCCAGCTCCAACCTGACCTCGGTCAACCTCTTCATCATGCCCTACAACTACCCGGTGCTGCTGCCTCTGCTGGACGACCTCTTCAAGGTGCACCGGCTCAAGCCCACGCTGGGCTGGCGGCAGGCCTTTGAGGCCTACCTCCGGGAGGTGCCCAGCTACTACGCAGGGGTAAGGCGACTGTTACCTTCTCACCATCGGCCAACACTCTCTGCTGAAAGTGATACGCGTCCATGATGCAACCCCCCCCCCGAAAACCGTTTAACTTTCATTCTGTGTAGAGTATTACTCCCCCGACATATACTCGTTCAAGTGAGACTGCGTTTGATTTGACGCTCACGTGACTTCTCATGCTCGCTCGGACATGGCTCATTTAACCAACTTGAAAGCCCCTCGGCCTGATGTTTCGCCGATTTGTCTGCCTCTCCAAATCTCCCTCCATGAGGTTTTTCCTCCTTTGGTCTCCCCTCCGTAGCCCCTGAAGATAGCCCTGCGGCGGATGGGCGCCCCCAACGTCATCCCCGATGGCATGGAGAACTGCCTGAGTTACACGGTGGTCACCTACCTCAAGCGGCTCAAGCAGCAGTCCAAAGTGGAGGCCGACCGGATGGCAGCCACGATCGCCAAGAAGCAGAAGCTGAGCGACACGGGTGTCAAGGTCACCCCAAGGTATGTTTCCGCACTTGCCCGGTCAGCGTGAATGAGGAAACACTGCCGGTGCTTCGACGTTGAACTTTGAGAAATGGTTGAGTTGCTTCAGTTTTAAACAGCGAGACATCTAATGGAACAATGAATCTCAACGGGGAGTGGGGTTTTTGATTTTGAGAAAAGACATTTATACTTTAAGTTTATTCCTAAGTTAGGAAATAATACATCACTTATGCATTATATAAAATAATGTTTGACAAGTTCTTCTGCACTCTTCAATTTTCAACTAATGATGCCCTGCTTGACAAGATGGTCTGGTACCCTGTCGTCACAGATCGCAGATGCCCTCGCTGGCCGCCCGCAAGGACTTCCAGCAGCTCCTGCAGGCCATCACGGGCGAGACAGTCAGCGTGCGGCCTGACAGCAACATCGCCGAGTTCCCGGGCTACACGCTACGCGTCAAGGACCGCAGCGTGCGGCCGCGCACCTACCGCAACCCCTTCGACATCCCCCGCAAGGAGCTGCTGGACCAGCTGGTGCGGATGCGCACCAACTTCCTGCAGCTAGCCCTGGCCAAGTCGGCCAGGTTCATGAACGAGGGTAAGGACCGTAGTCACAACTCCCACCGCGACACTGACCGCGGCTGTAGCCGTGCTCTCAACTGTATGTCTGACTGGTTTTGACATAAAGTTAAGTGTAATTTCTAGAGCCCCCAACTTTCCGCGCAAAGTGAATCCTGCTGGGTGCATTCATGTTCGTGCACAAATCTATGGAAACTCAAACTTCAATGCCGCTATTCGTATATTTGCATCTGTTTTCTAAAAATGATGCTTCAACAAACCTGATACAAGTAAAAAATGAAAACGCGTAATCAGTAAGCGAACCGTTTTTGCCAAGTGTCTTCCGTGCAAATGTGTGCACGTATGCGCCGCAGATGAATTTCACTGAGGCTGTTGAATGTGTCGTGCTAATGATCAAAATTGTACATTATTTGCCTGTTGCATTTACGGCCCACTATTCAGAACGCGCTCAATCGCATTTCATTATTTTCAGTGACATGCGTGTGAATTCAAAATGTCTGAGCTCAGGATGCCGTCAAATTTTCTTCGGTATGACACGACAAGCTAGCACTCTCGTAAATCAACATAGTGCGACGGGTTCTAACCATTTGACCTGACAACAGTGGTTTGAGAAGAAAGGTTTCGTCGCAATCATGCCAATTCTGTAGAACTCGGAGGGTTTGGGGAAGAGTTTAACGGTACCTCATCCTGACTTTCTCTGCCTCCCGCAGACACCGTGCACAGCATTCCCATGGCCGAGATGGGCAACTACCAGGAGTACCTGAAGCGAATGCCCAGTCCCCTCAGGGAGGCTGACCCCGCCCCTGCCCGGCTCCACACTTTTGGCAACCCCTTCAAGTTGGCTTCAGACAAGGACAAGGTGAGGTGTCTTTTTTGCTCGGCGCAAGAGGCTAGATTATCCTTTTTCTTATTGCTAACGCATAGCACTTCTCAAAGTCTCAAGGTACTTCTGAAATTTTACCCCCCCCCCCGTTCCGCAGGCCAGTGAGACCAGCATTTTTAGGTGATGCAGTCTGCTCTCCGTCTGCAGGGATGCACATTTACAGTTTCTGTGTGATAAATAGGCAATTGTTGTAAAGCATCTTGCTCGAGGACACGAGCGCCATAATCCCCTGGGGGTTTGCACCTCATACCACTGTACGTGAGACAAGGTAAACCCACGGACCACGGCACTCTTTTTGAAGGCGATGTCAAGGATTTTTTTTTTTACATCTTTTCCATGTAGCAAAAGTTCATGGTGGATGAGGCAGACGTGAACGAAGCCATGACGGGGCCGGGGCAGCAGCAGCAGCGTCGGCGGCTCAGCAGCGACTCGCCGCCAGGCTCGCCGGCCGCCAAGCGGGCCAGGAGCCCCGCCGCCACACCCCCCAGCCGGAGGCCCACCTCCCCCGGTGTCCAAGGGGGTATCATCCTCAAGAAACCCCTGGCGCAGCTGGTCCAGTCCAAACAGAAGGTGGCGTCAAATGCCGCACCGTCAGGTACGATAGTAATACTTTCCTATTGAAATGCTCAGCAATTTTAATAGCCAGTATCTTGTCTTGCTTTGTTTCAAAGTGAACAGTCGTTAAGGCTAACCAGCCATTTAATATCTGGCACAATGCCTTAAAGGAGACAGGTTTTTTTAACCAGATTTTTTTGACTTCTGCTTGTTCTTACTTATCGGAAAATCCTATGATACAGTTTAAGTGAAGTTGTGAGGAAAAAGTGTATTGTCATTGGAGGCTGATTTACATGTAACAAAATAGATTGTAACTGTTACAGTTTGTCTGGAATATTCTCTCTTTTAGGCTAGTTTTTTTAGACAGTCCGAGCTGAAATCATCAAAAAAATATCTTCCACGACGACTGTTTCTGTCGTGGTTTTTTTTTTCAGTCAAATGTGTCGCTTTAAACCATGCAGTTCACACAAATCCACAAATTTCTGAGAGTTTGAAATTGTCTTGATTTAAACGTAAACGTTATTAACACACGGACAAACCGGATCGAGAGTATACTCATGGCATCTAGTGAATTTTAATAATTTACATGTCCATCCTGTGTGAACCTGTGTAGGATCTACAACACCAGCAGGAGAGCCAAAACCACCATCAGAGCCTTCTCAAGAGAATTCTGCCTCCCCCTCTCCGAATGTTCCCACGGAAACCACGAATCAGAACAATGCCTTAGAAGTTGAGTTTGAGCAGCCCCCCAGGCCGAGGCCGGGGCCGGAACTGACCAATCACGTGGAGGCAGAGCGAACCGCCCAGCCCGTTGCGAGGGAGCTTCCGGCCGGCAGAACGGGGAAGGCAATTGGTCAGCGTGACCCGCTGGTCGACGGCAGGACGGCGAAAAGGGTGAACAACGACGAAAGCGTTGCAGAGGTTAATGCCAAGTTAAAGCAGCTGATTGTGAAGGAAGTCAGGAAACCTGGGAAAGGTGAGAAAACCTCTACGATTTGTATAAACGCTGCCCCAATTTCAGGCCTTTTTTTTTCTCGGGTGGGGCCAGTTTTGCATTGTCAGTTCTCAGATACCGACTTATCTCCTTCAAGGCTAATTTCTGGGATCAGATCTATTTAGGGCATATCATGACTTACTTGTAGACGCAATTATTGAACATGTAAGTTTCAACAGAAGCACATGTGCATATTATTCCATTGTTGGTTGCTCATGTTTAACCCGAGTCGTCCCAAATCCGCTGTGAGGCTTGTGAAGGGATTCATTGGATATAGGAATGTACAGCCCAGCATCCATTCCTTCACTTGATGGCCTTGAAAGTCACAAGTACAAATAATGTGCCAACGGGTTCCGGCACAGTGGAGGATTTCGGAGGATTCAAGAAAGCTCATTATACCATTCAGAAAAGCGGACAAGGACCAGTTATTTTTAACAGTAGTTGGCTCATTTCCTACTTCTGTTATACAAGTAGCCCTCCCGATGTACTGGAATCGTATGCATAGATTGAATTATTAACCATGCAGCTGGCTTTTTACGTTTAACTTAACTAAAAACTTCACTCTTCAAACATGAAACAGAGACGCTAAAATACAAAATCATTCGTATGGATTTTTTTTTAATTTGCAGTAAGATTCACGTATGCTTGGAACATCACTTTTTCAGTCTGCACGTTGTTTTTCCCCCGACCAGATTTCTCTCGGCTGTTCGTTCACCTGAACGCCATTCAGGGCGACCTGGACACCAAGTACCTCTTCGTCAACAGCATCATCCGCGAGGCCGGTCGCTTCAAGCGGCGGCGGCTTATCGAAATGCTGGAGACCTTCCAGCAGTCGGTGGTGCGGTACGAGACGAACCACGGCGGGGGCGTTGCCTCTGGAGGAGGGGCGGCGACAGCTAACATCTCGGCCCCGCCCAAGAAGAAGAACAGAAATCACTTGGTGGCGCCGAGGTAGCACAGAATGGTCCACGGGGTGGTTGGGAGTACTTTCGCTCACGTGTCATGAATGTATGACCTTGAACTTTGACCCGTTGACCTGAGGTACTGAAATGCTGCAGGAACTGGACAAGCTGGACTTGTGTGTTGGCCGGGGGAGGGGGCAGTGGCGAGGCGAGACAGCAAGCGTTGCCATCTCGTTATTTCTCTTTGCCGTGAATGAAACCAAACTGTGATTTTTAAACCGTACGCTAGCAGATTTCATTGTCGAATGATATCCATAAGCCACATAGGTTGTTGAATTGGACATTGCCCAGTGCGATAACAAAAAAGGGTATTTGAGTTTACCGAACAAAACTGTCAGAGACAAGTTTACACGCCCCCATGTCAAATGCACTCCACACGCTAAACTGGCTCTGTCGGGACGATTGATAAAAAGAACCTCTCCATTGGATCATCTTTGGAAACGAGAACGAGATGCTGTGTGTTGGAATTGGAAGATTCTACCTCTTGGACGAGTGAGAGTATGACCATTGGCAGAAGAGAAAATGATTGCTCGTTCACCAGTAGTATTCCATTGTACGTGTATTTTCTGGGTTTTTTACACTTGCATTTTCTGTATAGGCGACACCTGGCCGTCCACGAAACGTCACGCAACTGTATTTGTGATTTTACTCCGTCACTTCGACTGCAACTCGAATGTTCAACCTGCAGACACAGCACAGTGCATTTGGTTTCAAGTGTCAGTAATCACATGGCTGACCTCAGCCGCTTACCAGACCTTGGCCACCTCTGTGGCCGCAGGTTTAATAGCCCTGGCTTCCGACCACAGAGTTGAACCCAGGAACACTTCACATAAGCGGACCGTGGCTAGGATCATACAATATCGGCTTGACCTTCACCCATTGAAGTCAGGTGGCTAGCGGCTGTTTTAGTGTTTCCTCATTGGCACTTGTGTGCAATGCCAGCCTAAGACCTTTTCAGATGCAGTCCGGAGATGCTGGTTGAAAAAGTTGCATTAGCAGACCCACTCTCCTCAAAAACCAAAGGGTGATAAACAAGCAAAGGGATCAATCTTACACGAGATTTCATCACATATCATGCAGACTGAAAGCATATCGAAGACAGTAAGGTAGTTGATTCACACAGCGGTGTCGTATTCCTTTCCGTGCTTAAAGTTGTCAGAGGTGTATCTAGGACTAAATGTCCGCGAGGGGGGCACCCGGGGTGCACACATTTTTTCAACGGAGCACAACATGAAAATAAGATGCAGTTGCATAGCTATATAATCTCTACAGAGATAATTTACAGGGGATGGCACCTTGGGGCACAGGCATCACGTAACCAATCTCTGAGCCCAGCAACTTCTCGGAAATGGTCCGGGTGCTTACTGAAGAGTTGTTGGCTCGAAAACAAAGAACCTGCTTTGATGGGGAACGCTGATGTTGTACACCGTTTTAAATTTGAAAATAAATTGTCGTTCATTCAAGGCGAACTTTTCAAAAGTTTGGTTTGATTTGCATATGAAAACTTTGAAATTGAGATATATCTGATGAATCCATGTCCGTAAGTTTGACACTTTCAAGGGGGCACTTATCTGATTTATGCATATATTCAAATTGATGTTTCATACACAAGCAAGGTTGAACCAATCAGCGATCGTTGCTGTAGTCTGTGCGCACAACCTTTGACCAATAGGAGTCCACACAATCACCCACAGCTTTTGTGCACAGTACCGGCCACGAGTGGCCGGTCACTTTGCAGCTGTACTCATTGTATACTCTGTCTCGGTGGTGAGCGTGCATGCACAAACATTGGTCAAGTGGTAATGCACGCACAGTACACCTAGCCACTGTCTCTCATTGGCCAACTTTGTTGCTGCTTGCAAACCATCACCACAGTCTTCGTGCACATATTACACCACTTGTAGCAAAATGGAATAAAGGAGGTCCCGTGAAGTTCTGTTGAAACACAGGGCCTTGTGCCTTGGCAGCAGAAACACCCAAACCAAAAAAAAAGCCAAGAAAAGAGGCCTTTAACTCGTCTCTTTTGTATTTAGAATTTCCCGAGTTTATGCCACATGGCACAAGACACAATAAAGGGGCCCAGTGACTGAACTGTCACATTAGCAGTGTTTCCCTGATGTTCTTGCCATTTTTGCCATGCCTTGTTAGGGCACTCCACAACCTTTTCTTCATTTTATCAGCGCAGAGGCCAGAACTGGATTGAGACCACAAGGATATCGGTTTTGAATTAAAAATCAATGTCCACTTTCCTGTCAAAACTGACAGGCAAATTTTGTCCGTCCATTTTACACTCCAAAGAATGTTGAGAGACTTCGAAGGCATGCGCGTCCCCACGGACATCTGTGTAAATCTAACGCAGACCCCCAAAAATCGTGTGACTGAAAAACCTCTCTTAAATGTCTTTGGGTGATTGAACACTTGCAGAAATTCATACTCAAAGGGGATACACTGCCAACTTGACTGGCCCCCTTTACTCTGATGTGTCCTGCAAGGCCCAATGTGCAAATTTATACGCAAAGCGAAATGGGTGGAAACCAGTCATAATAAACATCACATGGAAGTTTTGCTTGGTGACCATTTTTGGCTCAGCAAGCTGTAATATCATCTTAAGTTACTCTTACCTCATTGGGTCCCTTGGTCATCCCAGTGCAGAGAGAAACGTTGCACATCAGCCTCGTTGGTATTGGACATTCTTGCATAAAAACCAATCGGGTCAGAGTTATCGTTACACAGGAAACTGTTTATCTCAAGGTTTCACAATTGTAGATGGTTAATTCACGAGCCAACACTTCCTGAAAAATCCAAAAATCTATCATTTCCAATCTAACTGTGATTTATCTTTCACTTTGATGAGAGGGAGTGTCTTCCTTTGTGGAAAGTATTGACACCAAAATCTAAATGTATTTAAACAAAATCCTTTGGCTGGTTTTGAAAATGCTATATATTTTTGATAAATTTTGAGTGTAAAGTCAACAGCCAAAGATATGTGCCCTTTTATGTGTTTTGTGAATTAGCCATCTAGAACATGTAGATATGTTTGATATTGTAAGAAATGTCAAGCCTTTGTTTGGTGGTAATGTGCAATTCTGTACATATTTACAGTATCACGATTTATTTGGGCACTTTTTGGCCATTGAGCCCAAAGTTTTTGCAAAGAAATCCATGAAAATGAGAATAAAAATTTAAGAGTTGACACAGACTTATTTTCTGAATGGTATCATTTTTATGGGATTGAACCTAGTTATTAAGATGTCAAATTTTCTGACCCCTATCCTATGATGCGAATCGGACCCAAGTTCTGGAAGCGGGAAAAAGCATTCCAAATGGCTTAGACATACATTCGGCCCTCTTTTTACAAGGAACTTTGGATCGACTTAAAAATTTGTCTGAAATTTCAGCCATTACATGCATGTAGGGTACGGCTAATAATGCAGGTATGCTCTTTTGCATCCTCATGCGCCAGGGGAAATTCAAATGGTTTCATTACCTCTCCGAATTTATTCTTAAAAAGCCCCCCCCTTGACTAAAAATGACGTTTTCTGTCCTGTCCCCTTCCACCCCATGTCACGCAGCCTTTCGCCCAGTATATATCAAAACACAAGAGGGCGCCCTCTAAATATTGAGGTTGCTACATCAGTCTCATATCCTGACGACTTTACTGCCTTTCTGGCATCGGCGGATCCGTATCATCCCGACTATCTGACTAAATGGAGATGGTGTAAAGTGACTCCACCCGGTTTAATGCGTGTACAGATTGACAGTTTCTACAGACGTCAGACTCAGTGGATTGTCTAAATCTGGGCAAATTTCAATCTCACAATATGAAACCATGACATAATTTAAGAAGTCTTCTTCAGTCACATTTTGTGTGTGTTAGTTTCTGTGCAGATAAAACCGTGAGTATAGGAAGAATTCACGTCATATTTATCTCAAAATTCGACTGGCAAAGATCTTTTCCTACCTCCATGGTCAGACTCATTCAGAGCTTACACTTTTGCTGCGGTTGAGTAGTTCGCCTATAAATAGGCAGGATAGGTCAAGGCCGAATGGGTCATGGTGTCATCATTTAGTCATTGCTTTTAACCCTAACCCCCAAGGGTGTATGTAAAATCGTATTGAAATTGGAGGATTTTGGACTGTTAGGGTTAAATTAAAGCCTTGTAGGTCTAGGCCTACCCCCAGAACTGTGAGGTCCGACGACCGCTCCTCTCGATTCCATTCGAGTTGTGTACCCATAGAAATGTTGCTTCATTTCCCCCAAGAGTTTTATGTAAGATAGTTTACATACCTTTGTTGTGAGTACCAAGAAGAAAAGGGCCAAAACCATGCCATTTTCCAGAAAAGGTGCCAATATTTCCTGATCAGTGTCTGAGAGTCATGTGGTTCACATGTGTACTTGCGAAAACAAGCCGCGACCAAATGGTTGACTATGGCCATGATCGATACACAAGACATGGAAATTGGCTTCAGCCACATTCCGTACCTGTGTTTGCAATTCTTAGCCGTGCTGGTTGAAATGGCAGGCAGTTGACTGCAGCGCGCTGGGGGTCACAGTGACCAATCACAGGGCTCCTCATTATTTTGCCCAAATTGAAGGAAGACAAGCAACAGCCGTTGGGTGCCAGTGCACATGAGCGTGCTGTCGCACAGTGAACACTTCATGTTGAGCGGCTTCCTGCACCCAACGGCTGTTGCTTGTCTTCCTTCTATTGGGCATAAATAATGATCATTTTCATGGAAACGGCACATTGTAAAGTTTCCGTTTTTATTAATTGTGTGAACTCCCAAATGAACATTTGAACCATTCTTCTTTCACCAGACTGCGGTAAGATTAAGTGAGCATTAGAAGGAATAGTGATCTTGTACAAAGTCTTGACTGATTTGCTTGAGTGTTCCGAATGTTTTTGGCCAAGAGAGTAATTGGTAATTTTTTCAATTCATTTGGTACAGTATGTTTATTAACCCCTTCGCACGAGAACCGTCAGCTTTGTGTGAGGATTAGTGGATACCACACATACAGTCTATTCACCATGCAGCTGCTGGTTCAATGGGGCCTGCTGCTGGACAGAGCTTTGCATTCTGGGCATACCGCAACCCAGCAGTCGCGGTCAAAAGAATCCCAGCGTTAAGGGGTTAACATTCGTCCACCTATCAACAAATTGAGGATTCTTTAAGCATTATTGAAATCTGCAGGAATGCTGGAGTTTTGAATCATATTCATATTTACATTGCATATAAATTTTATATATGTAATTATGTATATATGATTATATGTTTATTCATATTTTGTGCACAGATATAACAGAAAATTGGCAGGGGGAACCAGGGAACGCCGAGTGCATTGTTTTTTTCCAATCGACGTGAAATCCCAGAATGACCATGGAGGATGACAATGACGCCTCTTCACTCGAGTCGTTCGCACTTCACGTGGTGCTGTTTCCCATTCTAGATGAAGTACGTGATACACTATATTGCATTTTTGTCCAGTGAGTGATCAGAGAAATTTGCCGCCACTTTGGATAGGGAGTCGAGTACTACCAAATCGTCGACCACAAAATTCACATTTTTTTCTCCCTTCTTCAGTTGGAGAAGATAGATTTGTCGGCCGCGCAGACCCTGAGGGCGGCCTTCGAGAAGGCCGAGAAGCAGAACCCGGGCATCAGCCATGACATCATCAGTGGCGTGCTGGAATCTCGGTCGGCCGGTGTCGCTCTCAACACCGAGTGCATGCTGAAGCTCGCAGCTCTGGACAGTGAAGGTACGGACACATTAATTTATGTCTTCAGGAGATTTTAAAGTGCATGTCGCACCTGAGTCAGAAACAAGTAGAATTGAATTTTTTTACCCAGTTTCTTACAAAAGGAAACAGTTGATTACTTTGCATTCCACATATTTATTTGATCTGAAAATGGTAAGTTAAAACACTGACCCCTGTTACTTTACACAGGGCTTGATGTCTCTGGAAAGGTTTAATACAGAGAATGCGCCACTGGTTGTAAGCACAGTGAGATTTCTAGCAGGAGCGTCTTCAGATAATTTGGAAGTTCTATATTCATTTTCAAGTTTTGGTTGTCTTTTTTTTAAATTTTTTTTTTCGGCAAAATGTGGAAAAGGCATGATTTTTGTCAAGATTTTTTTATTTTTCTTATTTTCCTTTTTTTTCTTCCCTAAATCCCATACATTGTGAACATGGCTTTTCATGTGGCCGTTTACCCACGCATGCAGTTCTAGTTTTTTTCTCTCTTTTGTGTTTTGTTTTCATTCAAGTGTTCCATGTAACCATCTCTTTGTAAGTTAGATCTAATGATTATTTTGCATTCAGGAAGGATGCAAACAGATAAACGCAGAGGGGATCAGGACACACTTCATATTTCCTTGAAAACAAAAAATCTGCTGTACTTGTTTCAGAGTACACTCTGAGAAGAAAAGAAGACGTCTTTGAGAAGCTCAACGAGCAGGCCAGGGAACTGAAGAAGATCTTAGCACGACTGCCGGACGAGATCGGAGACCGGCCCAAGTTCCTGCAGACAATCAAGTCAGTAGTGGCTTGAATGCTCGCAAAAGCAGCAGCTCCTAATGCTGCGACTTAGTAACATTTAATGCGGTAAATTTTCAAACCCCTGACACCCAAATATTCAATGATAATTGTCAACTTATAATGTGTGCTTATCCGGGAACATCACCAAGGCACCATTTATTATTATAACCCCTCCTAAACTGGCCAATAAACGGGCTTAAAACCATCACAGCTCTCTAGGGAGTATATTCCCAGAGTGGAACATAGAGAGGGCACAATTTTCCTGGCAGTGGAGACTCCTTTGAAGGGAACCGCACTTTGCTGATTCACAATTGACTATGAAATACGCGCGTTGCGGTGACATCTTGACCAACAAAATGAACACTCCCTACCAACCTGGCTCTTCTCAACCGTTGTGGGGGTGCTTCTGCTCAAAGCGGATATACATCTCGATGCTGCCATTTCTGGCTCAAGTGGCAAATCTGACACACCCATCTCAAGCGGCTGCTGGCCACTCACCTCCACTGAAACATTTGAAAGCATCCTGAAATTTGGAGGCACATGTGTCCACATACCCCTGTGGCATATGACAGGGACAGAAAGAGGAATCCCGATGTGTCCATTTGGCGTAAAAGTCCATGTGGAATTGTTAGGAAGATTGAAATGAAACATTGAAATGCAAACATTTCCTTTTCTTTGCAGGGACATAGCCAGCGGAATCAAGGACTTGCTGGAAGCCCTCAACAGGCTCATCAAAAAGCACGGAGCGGGACGTCTGAAGGACCGCAAAAGCGTAAGTGTTTGGCTGTGGTTTTTAGTAACCAAGGGATGAACAGTAACAGAGGATCTGTGATTTTTCATGTGAATAGTTCCATGTGAGTAGTTTCCAGTGAATAGTTTCATGTGAGTGTGAATAGCTCATGTCAGTATTTTCATGTGAATAGTTTCATGTCAGTAGTTTAATGTGAATACATGTGCAAGTAGTTTCATGTGAATACATGTGCAAGTAGTTTCATGTGAATAGTTCCAGGTGAGTAGTTTCCATTGAATAGTTTCATGTGAATGTAAATAGTTCATGTCAGTTTTTTCATGTCAATAGTTTTATGTCATTAGGTTGATGTCAAAACCTGTAGTTTCATGTGACTAGTTTGTATATGACTAGTTTCATGTAACTAGTTTCATTTGACTAGTTTCATTTGACTAGTTTCATGTGACTAGTTTCATGTGACTAGTTTCATGTGACTTGTTTCATGTGACTAGTTTCGTGTGACTAGTTTCGTGTGACTAGTTTCGTGTGACTAGTTTCGTGTGACTAGTTTCATGTGACTAGTTTCTTGTTGTGAGAGTGGATTCTTGTGTTTGATATACGAGGCCCTTGGTACAAGCATCAATGCACTAGAACTAAGTACAGACAGTTATCCCTAACAGTCCTCAATCCTTCACCTGTTGGAGGACTGAGGACTGTTGGGGTTATAGTGTACATGTACATGTGTGCCTGCACAAGTGTGGCCCTCTAGGCCAAAGAAGTTCACATCATGTAGGGTAAGAACACCTGGTGTGGACTCGTTCCTCATGGTGTTTTCCCCTCTCTGAAAGCAGCTTCAAGGGGCATTTGGGGGAAGTAAAGAGGCAAATTGAAGAAAGGTCCAGGAAATCATAATCAAAAATCCAGCTGGATGGAGTTACTGTAATTGGAGAAAAACTGAAAAAGGAGCACTTTCCCTGAGATTTCTTGACCCCAGGGGAGAGAATAAAAGAAGATCCACATTATGTATGTGAAACAAGCAGGCATGTGTGTGTGTGTGGGGAATCAACTTGCCGTGGTGGATAGTTCAGTTGACCGCAAGCTGTGCCAGGGAGTGGTTGACAATGCTGGGGACAGGTCGACTCATCATGAGTGTTTGGAGATTCTACACGGCTTGTAGGGAACACACCACATAGGGCATCGCAACAGACGCAGCACCCCACAGAATAGCCTGGGAAAGTTGTGACTTTGTAATAAAGGTTCCCCCATTTCAGAAATTCATATTTGATTTCATATACAACCTGGATTCCTGGGCAAAATTGGAATCAGTGTAAAAAATGTAAGAATTCACCAGTGTTATATTTCACGGTCCATAGACAGGCACTGTTGGCCCCGACTGTCGGTCAATAGGCGCAGTATATTACCCGTGGATTATCATTTTGTTTTCTTCGCTCAATCTTGCCCAGGTGCTCGATGCACACAAAAAGGAGTTCATCAACTCGTCCAAGAACTTCAGCGACACGCTCAAAATCTACTTCAGGGACGGACACATAAACAACGTGTACAAGAGTGCCAACAAACTGGTCAACGACACAAACACCATCTTGAAAATGCTCAAGAGCGTAGGGAATTGATCTACCAAAAAAAACAGACCTTGTCCCTGGTTTTCATGCAGTTTATAGCATGGAAATAAAATAAGTATCCTGTAGTTCTAATTTCGTAGAAGTTTGAGCCTACCCAGATTTTTTTTTTTTTGGCAAACGCAAGTAGGCCTGCGTTTTATACAAACCTAGGTGAAACGCGCACTGCGGACTTTATTCATTTATCTGTTGCTGGCTGTTTTAGAATAAACTATTCACTTATATATTCAGGGAATTTCATCGGATGTTGAGCATATGTGTGTGTAGGTACGGGGTAATGCTTTAAGTAGCACAGGCCTTTTTCGTGAGGCGGCCATTTTTCATCTTGTCCCCTGTATCCATGTTATTTATTGCACCCATGGGAATGGAGAGATGCCAGCCTATTTTGAAAATTCGAACAAAAAAAAGTCTTTTCAGAATTTGCTTGTGGTCCAAAAAAGTGTGAAATTTCTTTGTATCCATGGTTTAGAATGAATCATCCCCTCGCTGCTAATTTAACGTAGATAATGTAATGCTTTCCTGTGTAACATCAAGTTTACTTTCTACTTACCAAAGAAAAGTATTTGCACCTGCCTTTTCAGTTAAAATGGCCGACTCACGTTAAAGAGAAGTTCTTGTTGGGGTCAGTAGCAAGTCTATTTTCCTCAGTTTCTTTGGTGCACTATGAAATTATGACACCGTGAAATAGAGACTCATTGACCTCATTGCACATGACTGGGGACACAGAGCAATGAGAATGCAGAGAGGCTGGAGGTCAAGATTCCATGTGACACCAGAACCTCTTCATAGCTCTGCTAACAAGCCTAAGGGGAGAAAAGTGAATTTTGCCAACAACCAAGCATGGACAGTACGCTCAAGGCTGTGATTCCGCATGTAAGTCTGATCATGGTTGAAACTCGTACTTCACAAACGTTTGATCAGAATGGCGACAAAAACCATTCTGTTGTCGTGCAGAGGCCTCGTTTTGCAAGTGAACAAAGGCGCCGTTTGGAATGTGCGTGTTTTTGGCACTGTTTACGGGATAAACAGTCTTCTCTGTTTATGCTGCAGTGTTGGCTCGAACTGCTGCAACAACCAGTTTATGTACAAATTCAAGGCTGGCCTTTGGGGGAACAACTTTACTATCGTATGTCTTATGTTTATGGCATCATCACATGTTACTGAACTGGAGTTGTTAATGATATGTACCAGTTACGGGAGCCAAAGGTAGCATTATGCTATTCTTTTCACAAGAGCCTCCGTGCAGAGGAGACAAGAAAAATGTGCTCTGGTTATGCATGTTGTTCCTGAGCATGCATGGCTAGTTTTCATCTGAATGCGCACAAACTGCTTGCGTCCTGGTGCCGATGCACAAAGTGGAAAGGACTTCCAAGTGGCTTTCTCGTGTCTCCTAGGGTTTTAGAAATCTCAGCTCTGTCTCCAACTTCAGCTCCATGATGTTTTTACCCCACCCCACCCGTGGCTTGTTTTAGCTCGGTTTCCTCATACAAACCTCATATTGTCCCAATCCAAGACCCGTATCTGAAGTAATTTTGTTCTGTAACTGCAGTAGATATTCAAAAATGATTATGGAACTTACCATCAAGCCAGGACAGAGGCAAAGTTGAGATATGAAAAAGTGTTTTGTCACTGTCAGTGGGGTACTTGCACCATGGAAATCATCGTACCTGTACCGGCCTAGCAAAATGAGTCTTTTCACCAGAACCACTTTTGAATTTGAAGGCATGCAAACAGATTTTGCGTGGTTGTTATTAATTAGAGCCCTGATCATTTTTTCACCCATCTAAAGGGCCGGTTCATACTTCGCGCGTAAGCAAACACCAACGGGAATTTGAGACGTCAAATCACATATTTGTTGAGCACATTTCGAGTTCAACTTGAGTGACATTTCGCTGCAGATCTTTTGTGCAGTCAAATTCACTTTGCTTTCTCATTTGCCTGTAGTGTAAACAAGCCTCAGTGCTCTTTTTTGTCAGTGTCAAACCAAGTGATACATGAAACCCAAGAGCTGCTCCAACCAGCACCAACAAAAATAATACCGACAGAAGTGGCCATAAGACTCATTTTGCTGGATCCACTCACACACGCTGGCTCTTCTTGCGAGTGCAGGTGAACGTGAAGGGGATTTTACTCGAGTCATTTCATTGTAGCCTACTTCGGCATTACCCTACCTTGGCTTCCTTCTCAGCATTGCATTCATTGTAAAGCTTTGGCCCTAGTAGTTGGTTTTCATTTGTTTTTAGGATGACCAATTTTATTGGGTGGTTATTATTTTTTCAAAACAAAAAAATCTAAGCTATTTTTGTAAAGGTGAATATAAGAACCGGTGTGTTTTTGTATTTACGACAAAAGCTTAAATGGTACGATAATCATCTACAGACCTTATGATAATCTTGTATATATATAATTGGGGGCATTGTTAGCTGATATTTGACCGTACAGAACATTTTTTTTTTAATTGGACGCACTGCACCTGTAGTAGGCTACTGAAAGTTTGGTTTGCGAAATACGACCATCTCAAACACAGCATCAGTTTCTTTATCCAATAGTATCCATGCAAATGATATTACCATGTTGGAGTCGAAAGCACTCCATATATATCGTGTGTGAAATTCATTTCAGTTTCTCGTTGGCAAGCTCACCCAAATGATATCAATTTTTCCTCAGTCACATTTAGGCAGCCAGATTGAACTGGGTGCCCAATCCAGGACCAGGTCGTGTGGGAGTGTTTTGAAATAACCGATCCTATATTTCTCGTTGCTTTTTTTTTTTTCAAGGAATGTAATACTCCATTTTGAATTGAACTGTCTGACTGTGGTCACACAGGTCAATTTAATGTTGCCTGAAAAAAAAGATGTTGAATGTGTTCCCAACACTTGTTTATCCTATCACAGATCACCTTTGGGTTAGGGCTGTGCCGAATATCCGAATAACCGAATATTCGATCGATTATCGAATATTCGAATATTATTTTCCAAATTTGAATACTCGAATGCAAAATTCATGAAAAGGAAGGGAACATTTTCTTTTGTTTTAAATGAGAGAAATTGCACCATGGAGGCTTGTTTTTAAATGAAAAGCGACAGCAATCTTTCGACAATTCAAAAAGTAAATTATTCATTAAACAATTTGAAAGGAATAGAAATTTTCAACTGGGCAAGAAGTATTGATCATCTATTAAATCTTACTAAGTCGTGGCTGGAGATACTCCTAGATGTGAAAAGCTATCACATGTATATTAATTATAATGTACAATGGTGTGCATTATTGCAACTGTTTCTGTATAATGGTTTCTTCATCAACAATCTGGTGGTCAATACGACCGAATATTTGGATATTCAATCAAATTGAAGGTCAAATATTCAAATAGTGAATTATTCGAATTGACTCAGTCCTACTTTGGGTACCATTTTTCCCACCACCAACTTTTCAGTAGCCTTTTTTTTTAAAGGAAGACACATTCAGTCAATAAGGCAGAGCTATATGTACATATTCAGGAAAGATATCGATTTAGTAAAGCTTTATTTAATTTAAGGGTTTAGGTTTTTTTCCCTCATGTGCTTAGTGTAGATTGGTACTTCACTTTAATAACCAGAATATTTACTTTTCACTGTATATTATCCAAGTTTGATTTAATTTTGTTACCACTGTTTACCTAATCAGTTGAAATATTTCCGATCGACTTATTTTAACCTTGATTTCCCAAGCATTTTTGTGCAGGAATGGTATGGAACAAGATTTTGCAGGGGCAGATGAATTTAGTCTTAAAGCCCCTCATTGGTTTGCGTAGCCTCACTAGTGTGGCACGGATCACTCCCGATTTAAGTGATCCGTGCCACACTAGTGGGGCTATGGTTTGCGTTGATAGATTGGAACAATTTTATAGAGAAAACACAGAAAATGTACATAATGAATACTGGATAGTCATAAGTTATCACAGTCGATATCAACTTTGAAATTTGACTCATAATTTTTGGCAGTTGCTAATGAGTTCAGGCAAGGAGTCGTCTTTGGCTCAACCACTCGGGGTTTCGTACCCAGATGTTCACGGAAAAAGTGACCAGCATCGTTTTCGAAACAAGTAGATTCGGCTTAGACTACAGTTTTGCTGGTTCCGGTCATTTTGAAGCAGCGCTTGAAACTACATGTTTAAGTTCTGACTGGAACCGGCGAATCCACAGTCCAAGCCGAATCCACTCGTTTCAAAAATGCTCATAAAGTCAGGAGACTTGCAAACTCTGTGGCAGCCGTCCTTGTCTAGTTCCCAAGACGGCCTAGTGAAAAATGCAGGGTGATTCATTACATCATCGGCATCATTCTATCAAGTCATCGTAACGCCATTGACATTTCAAATATGTTCCATGTGATAGTGGGAACCTGACTTACAAACCCGGGCTCAATGTCATGGCGCTGCTTACCGCTGAATTCCACGCTTACGATCTCCATTCTGTGCTAACAGCGCAAGCAGAAAAATTCTGCGCTAACCCTTGAAAAACAGAATCCTTAGTTACGGGATGCATGCGCACAAGCCAAAATTCCTCAGTAACCTGTGAAATACGTTTGGCGTAAGTGCAGAATTTCCTGCTACGGTAAGCGCCGATTTTTTCAAGTTACTGTGGTAAGCAGCGCCATGAAATTGGGCCCAGATAGTACAGAAATACATGTATGACCCATTTAGTGTTGCAAAGGTCAAGTCAATAAAAAAATTTGTACTCTTTGATTCGTATATTTTGGGTGGTGTCGCAGCATGTTGTAAACACAGACAGTGGCGTGGCTAGGATTTTACTAGTGGGGGGACACAAGGGACACCAGCATCTTATGGCGGGCACCAGCTTTCAGCAGTGTGATTTTTGGGGGCCTTGTTCAGTATACATTCATCTATATTTTTTTCAGGGGGGGGGGGACTTTGGGAAGCACCAGGAATTCGTGGGGGGGACACATGCCCCGAGGCCCCCCCCCGCCCCGGTGGCTACGCCACTACAAATGGAATAGATTTTGTACAACTCCAACAATTAAAAACGATAGGATGGTGTTTTTTGATTGCAAAACCGTTGCTTAACCGAAAAGGTAACCCAGGGCATTTGGCGAGTTCTTTCACCACATTATGTTCAATAAGCTGTTCCTACAACGTAAAAATATCAAGCAACACGTTTTGAGTAAACAGGGATTTCAAACACTTTATACTTGAACTTTTGAGTGAGCTAGAAAAAATGGCATTTAACAGGTAGGGGAGGCATATTATACCACAACAAAAGGAAGAAGAATCAAAAAGAGAGAAAGGGTAGGGTTGGGATTTGGTTTCCGAAAGACCACGAACTGGGGGAGTACTTTCCCTTTGTAAACTTTCTGATTTCTGATGCGCTTTCAATAAATCACCAACTACACGTTCGTTACTTTGCAAACGCCTTGAGTGAAGCTGTCGTTGGTGGCGCTTTGTGAATGAATAGCGCAGAATGGTGGAAAATTACAACCGAAGCTGACATCCTAGAAATTTATGGAACGTTTTGCTTGATATTTTTACGTTGTAGGAACAGCTTATTGAACATAATGTGTTGAAAGAACTTGCCAAATACCCTGGGTTACTCTACAGATGATTTTAATGGCTCGCATCAAGCTCAGGTGACCAAAAATGAGGTGAGTTTGGAGGGTACATTCAGCAGATGGTCTGACCTCGACCATGAAGGGGTTAGACATGTTAGATGCCAGCTCTCTACGACAGGCCGACAAAACGAGCCGATTGTGAAGGCCGTTGCGTTAGCGGGACATGCATCGTGTCAGCCCAGCGTGGCAATAACTCGGTGGCTGTTTAATTTTTGGAAAGAATGTTGCAACCTGACTCCACTTCAGCGGTTGTGCACAACTTTCTCTGGGCTAAGGAGTCAAGAAACTTTTTTTTTATATTTCGTCAGAAAATTGGAAATATTTCTTGGGTCCCCAACAATACAATGTCATTCATCTCTTTCAGCATTTCTACAATTAAGGCCTAACCTTTTAGAAGCATGGCGGGCACAATAGGGGGGCAGAAAGAGCTCCATGGAAAACACTTGAGCCAGCTAAAAGTTGCATCCTGAGTCCACTTTTCTTATCTTATATCATCTTAATAAAAATCAGTCATTACAGAAATGCTGGAAAGACACAGATTCTGGACTGAGAAACATTTACCGATGTTGTTCGAAAATATTTGGTTGTAGGTCAACTTGACCGTTTGCCAAGTCGACTCGAGTCAACTCGACTCCTTACCAACTTGACCATTGAACCAACTCGTCCGTTGACGAACTTGACTTCAAAGTCGAGTCAACTCAACCATTTACCAACTCCACCATTTGCCAACTCAACCGCATGATTGATACATGGGTTTATTAGACAAACTCTTTCCTTGAAAAATAGATATTAAAAGGGGAAAAATAAAGATTGGATCGATTCCGGATCACAAAAATTATGGATGCTAATTTCGGCTCAATGAACCCACAAAATTAACTGAAATGCAATCAGTAATTGAACTTGTGCCAATGAGATACTCCAAAATAATTTTCCCAATTTGAGAAGAAGCACGCACGCAAGAACCCCCGAAATCTGTCACCACACTGTGCGCATGCACGGATCTCATCACGCACAGTAAAACGAATTACGCACGCAATCCAGAACTAGGAAAAATGCGTTCCTTTTGTGCCCTGTCCCTATTGCACCGTTTGCATGGTCGAGTTGGTCAAGAGTTGTGTTGACCTTTACGGTTGAAGGATTAACAGTTGAGTTGGTCGATGGTTGAGTCGAGTTGGCAAACGATTGAGTTGACGTGACACCAAATACTTAGAAAATTCTCTTCACTCTCCATAGTCACAACTGCTGAAGTGGAGTCAGCATGTAACATTTTTTCTCTAAGGTTAAGTAGGCTTAATGCTTAAGAACGTTCTAAGGTAAATTTCACTTTTTAGGACATGTTATCACTTTCTGACGGCTGTTGGAACATTTTAAGGGAAAATTTGTGTTGTCCATATATGGAACTCTTTGGAGGATGCTATTTGAAGTTGGTAAATTTAGAGAAAAACACAACAGATTTTACCCAAACCACACGCCCTCCTGTTGTCAGTAGAGGCACACATCACAACTCAGGGACTGTTCCTGTGTTTAAAAAAGTCCCTTTACTTGGCGACAAAACCAGTCCCCCGAAAGAGAGAATGTTTCCTTAAAAGGGGATTTTTTTTGCCCAAGTGGGCTTAGGTCAGAAATATCCACATGCTATTTTTGATTTTTCCTCCCATATTTTCCATTCATAGTTAGTTATTGAAGTTGTTTTTATCAACTTTGTGCCATGTCACTTGATAAATATATCACAAAGAATCGATTTTCAAAAAAATTGTTTTGATGCGGTCTTTTCCCCACCCTTCATGCCCTTTATGTCCCATTGCAGACTCCTGCTCGTAATCCTAGAAGTAAACGGAAGAATTTGTTCAAGGGGCAATCTTGGGTGTTGCCTCGTACTGAATCCAAATTAAGGCATTAACAGGATCCCCAGGGCAATGGTTGGATCCCCGTGCTCACCTGAAGAAAATTTGTCCCCATAGAGGGATTTCACATTAGCGCCGTCTGCGCATATCTGCATTGAAACCGAGGCTCTTTGTGTTGAACTTGTTCGCATGCGCCCCCGGAGTCCACACAGTATGTAGTATCCGGTTCGTAAGTGTGACGCCACTTCAGTTTAAACCACGCCCACTGCACAAAATACACGACCATCGCAGGTACATGTACGTTAGTTCGCGGTCAATTGTCGTTATTTTTTCTTTTGATTTTACGTGTTGAGTCATCCTGAAAGACTCTTCCACAAAAATTTGCAGCCTCAAAAGTCTGAATTGAACATACCTTTATGTATTTTGTGTCTTGACTCCTTACTTTCAATTGTCTGATCAAATTAAGAATTGAAGCTGACACATACAGCCTCGTTTTCAAACGCAGAAGTGTGCAGATCAACGCTAAAAGCGTTATATTGGGATCCTGCTATTAAAGAGGGGCATTCTCTCTTCCCGGGGACTGATTTTGTCCTTAAAGGGACCTCTCCAAGTACGAGGACAGTCTCGGAGTTGTGATGTGCGCCTCTTCTGATTTTATCTGCCATGCTTCTAAACTAAAGGCTATTGACTGGCCAGCTGGCCTTTATTATTGTGATGAAAAAGATTGGAGACGGGATGCAACATTCTTTCCTTTGGTGAACTTTGTATTCTGACCAACTTACTTGTACACGGTCATGCTATTTAGCATCAGCACACACAAGGACCTGTATCTTCGGCAAAGCGTCAACAACTTGAAAATATCCTCTAAAGATTTAAAAGTGGTTTTATCGTAATTAAGCGACTCTAAGACCTGCCACTCTGTTAGAGAAACATCGAGTTTGCCTCCAGATTCTCGCAGAAAATTAAAATTTTCGCAATGTTGGAGGCGGCCCTCTTTCTTGACACTGCCGTCCATGCGAAAACAAGATGGCTGCCGGTCGGGCTGCATGAGCTGGTCTGACTTTGTCACTCAAATATCAATACTTAAATATCATTTCAGATAGATATGATATGTTGAATAAGATACATTTACATGTATGTAGGAGCGTAATTAATGTTGTAAATTAAAAAACTTTGCATCATTGTGCTTGTTGACGCTTAATAGCATGACCCCTTGCTCGTTGACCAAACTTGTATGCTGACCAACTTTTGCGTTGTGAGTTTTACGCCAGTTCGGACAACTCACCATAAAATAGACAGGGGTGTTTGGGAAAATGAAGTAAAGTTTTAGAACAAAATCGCTGGAAATCTATCATATGTTGACTTCTTTTGACTCTCTGAATTAAAAGGTATTTATGAATGGCTATAAATATGTGGCCGGTCTTAAACTAACATTTAAGACCTTGCTTAGGAGAACGAATGCTGATAATGCCCTCGCCTGCAGCTCGGGCATTAGTCACGTCCATTCCTGTGCGTTTAAGACTGGCCAAGCACATATTTATTCCCTTATTTATGAGCGGCTCAGAAGAATACAGCAAAGGTGTTATCAACATTCAGTCTCCTGAACCAGTCTCAAACGTTATGTTTAAGACCAACCAAGCGCATATATTTATTACCATTCATATATACAGTTTTAGTCAGAGAGTCAAAAGAAGTCAATATGCGATAAATTCCAAGGATTGTGTTGAAGAATCGTGCTTACTTTCACTTTCCCGAAGACCCCCGTCCATTTTATGGTATGTTCCTTGTGAAAATTAGCCAAAAGAATCTCTTCATATGGACTTGGCATGCGCGTGGCTAGTTTCGCGTGCCATGGCGCACATAGACTCGTGACCAATAGGGATCGATTAAACTGTCGCGTATCCAGGTGCCAGTGCATTTTTACGCAAATCGCAGCTTGCATTATCAAAGGTTAATACACTGTCATGTTGCGCTCTGTTGAATAGGGAAACTAAGGTATTTATTAACCCTAACCTCTTAAGATCTTGCACTAGAAAGCATACTGAACCTCACAAAATCCAACAGGTTCATGTACTTGTACATGTAGGTCACTGTACCAAACCTGATAAACTCCAACATAATGAGCCCATTGGAGTTTGAGTGATATGGTATGGATGGGTCTATGCAGTATAGGATGACTTGCACTGAACAGTACCAAGCCTGACAAAATCAAGCATAGTCCAACAATTGGTACAGCAAGCCAGACACGGCACACAGTGACCCGTGTGTGTCCTAACTCAAACAGAATCCAACACCATCTTCCTGGGCCTTTCATCCCAAGTCTCACA